CCCCAGGCCCCTCGAGTTGTCACTTCTGTGTAAGGCACGGCTTTTTAAAATGCGTTTTGAGGAAAGTATGCATGGTGACAGAGCGGCAAGTCGCAGAGCACGGTTTCTCAGTACTATAAACTTCTTAGACTGTTAGTATAATTTTACATGGCTTATGGGCAAAAATTGAAAGCTTTGTCCTGAGTGAAATATGTCACGGGACTGGTTTGTAACTCCAGTATTCAGTGCTGCTGAAAACTACTTTAGGTAAGATTTGAAAACTAATGTACTAAAAATGTTAGCACATCCGTAGTTTTCTCATGAATTCTCAAGAACATTATAATTTTGGTAAGGTATTTGACGGCTCAGGGAAACAATAATATCTTTTGAATCAGTGATGTCTAACCAGTACGTCTTCTCTGGAGCTTTGTAGGACAGAAGGATAAATGTTAAAATGTGTATGTGTCAAAGGTTCTATGCTGATATGGTAGCGGAGTTTATGTAATGTTAGGCTAATAGTTTAATGCAATCAAAATGACTGTGAATTGTCAAAGGAGTTTAATTCAGGGAAAAAAAAAAGCAGTATTCAAGCAGAATCTTGCAGAACTATGAAAATGAGTGTTACTCATCAGATCAGGAAGCTGAGCCTGTGTTGACTTGTCACGTGACATTGGCGTGCCAAACTAAATTCATAGAGTTATGTGGTTGCAGTTGTCAACACTGCCATCGTGAATTTTGGGACATCTTAGAATATCTAGTGAAGTCTAGTTTCTGTGAGGCATGGGGATGATAACATGCTTGTTAAAGGGGGTGATAGGAACTGGTAAGCCTGGTGGGGACATGATGAAACTAACTAGAAGAGAATGACAAGGAAGAAGAGGCACCAGTCCCTGCCAGAGGAGGCAAATGGTAAACACTTTCCAGGAGTTAGATTTACTTAGTTCCAGTCATTCAAAAAACAGAGAATGAAATTCCTTTCCTGACTTTGCTTCTCTTCCATTTTTTGTTCCCCTCTCACTGTGTTTACACACACTGTCATTCATTTTGTTATACCCAATAGCCCCTTGTAAGTAAAGGAGTTAATTTCATATTGTTATGGCATCTGATTTGGGGCAGGAGCTCAGGTGTTGGCCACTCACATTGCAGGGGAGCATCCTAACTGTCTGGATTAATACTTTTTCATGCAGTGAATATTTATTTATGCAAAACGGAACAGGTCCAGCTAGGATATCTACATGTTTTCTCTGGGTTATCCGTAGTCTTGTTGGTTAATACACTTTCTGAATACGGGAGATTTGTATTTATTAACAAGGTTTAGATACAACAAAATCATCAGGCATCTCCCAGTGCAGGTCTATAATTGTGGGGGTTTTGGGTAGAAGTTGAGAGAGAAAAAGTCAGTTTTTTGAAATGGAGGATGGTGGTGCTGGAGAAATAGGGTTCCTGGACAGTGATTACAAGTGAATTTCATTCCACAGGGGTTATTACATCCGTGCCCGTGCTGTAGATCACTGTGTTCAAGACTTCCTGCT